GTGGGGGTGTGTGTGTGTTTGTGGTTTTTCTCCAGCCACTGAAAAGTAGGTGATCAGGCGATGTAGGATTTCTTCAATGGAGAGGAACGTCAGGGGCTCCGACATCACTCCTTTTCTGTTAGCACTAACTACAGCGCTAACAGAAAAGATGGACATTTGATTGATGAAATTTGGATAGATAAAAGTCAACAATGGATTTTGAGAACTGCTGCATACAGGAGTGTAGCCAGAATTTTTTCAGTGGAGTGGCCAGGGTGACACATTGTCTGCCCGTAGGGTGGCCACCACCACACGCACGCACGCACGCACATATGCTTGAAACGGCTTGTGCATCTGAGAAGTCATTGTTTATCATACCATCCACAGTCAGCGCTTTATGAAATAAAATACACATATCCTGGCCCCAACATTTTTTTGTGTATGTTTCACAAATGTGATGTTAATTTTGGACATTTGTACAGATTCAATTTGTTTTGATCCAAATGACAGAGAAGGCAATTAAACCGCACAACACTAGGGGGCAGCTTTAGTGCAAAATTATCCATCCTTCCATTTTGTGCACTTATCCTCATTAGAGTCACAGGTGAGCTAGCACAAAAAAAAAAGTCAACAAGTGGATGATTCCTTATTATTTTATTAATCCCAATTTTCGCTGAAGAGAACAAATGCCATGAAAGGGAGGGAGTTTACGACATTGTGAGTAAATTTGGTTGAGGCATGAGGTCACGGCAAATTAAAAAAAAATGTGCACGTTTATTTCATATTATTTTATTAATCCCAATTTTCGCTTAAGAGAACAAATGCCATGAAATAATAAAGTCCGACCATTTTCAACCTTAAGGCTTTTACTATCATCCTCGTTAAGAACTAACGTTAACTACTTATTTCTGAACATAAATCCGCTAAGTGTTAACTCAGCATGACACATGTACCACCGTCTGAACTCTGCCTGGACTCGATGTTGTCACGAGGGCGTTCCGCTCGCCTTTTCCCTTCCTCCAACCCCCACCACTTCCTGTTTCCTGTCCTTGCAGGAAGTAGCTCTGCACTCACTTCCTGTCAGGGGAGGGAGTTTACGACATTGTGAGTAAATTTGGTTTGAGGCATGAGGTCATGGCAAATTTTAAAAAAATGTGCACGTTTATTTCCAGCATGCAAGGAAAAGTGAGAGGGTTCAGAAAGAGAGACATTCTAGCCCACTTTGTTCTTAATTCTGGGCCACTGATCTTTCACATCAAGATTCCGATAATATGTGTTGTTTCAAATTGACAAAACTGGTTGGTTAAAAATGTATTGATTCATTGATAATCATTTTTATTTTTATTAGGTCAACGGACAATTTTAATCAGAGAAGGCTTTATGTGTCAGTATTTTTGATGTTGAGTGAAAAAATGTCATCACTTTTCTAGCATATCAGGTTTTTGAGATATTTATTTTTTGTTTTTCACTTTGACCTATAAAAGCTTGTGGAATATGGATTTTATCATATCCAGTAATTTCTTGATATGATGTTTAAGAATAAAATAGCCCACTTTGTTCTTAATTCTGGGCCACTGATCTTTCACATCAAGATTCCGATAATATGTGTTGTTTCAAATTGACAAAACTGGTTGGTTAAAAATGTATTGATTCATTGATAATCATTTTTATTTTTTTAGGTCAACGGCCAATTTTAATCAGAGAAGGCTTTATGTGTCAGTATTTTTGATGTTGATTGAAAAAAATGTCATCACTTTTCAAGCATATCAGGTTTTTGAGATATTTGTTTATTTTTTGTTTTTCACTTTGACCTACAAAAGCTTGTGAAATATGGATTTTATCACGTGCAGTAATTTCTTGATATGATGTTTAAGAATAAAAGTTCACCTGTTGCCAAAACAAACCATTAAAGAGGAAATCAACTCACAAATTTTCTTCACAGAAATCTGTTCTATGCGCCCCGTTATACTCCTCCCAAATTTCCAAAACATGCATGTTGGTGTCATTAAAGACAAAATTGCCCATTGGTGTGAATCCTGGTCGCTGCGCGGACTGTTTTGCATCCATGTTGTGGCGAAGATTCATGTGCATATTGATGCAGGTGGTCCAAGTATTGCTTTAAAAAAAGTAAATCCAATTTTGAATGCAGTGTTGTTGAAATGGTGATATTATTTCTGACAAAATTATTGCAAAAATATTTAAAGAAAGGAGCGGCACGTGGGTTGACTGGTTAGGACGTCTGCCTCACAGTGCAGAGGTGCAGGGTTCGCCTTCCTGTGTGAAGTTTTAATGTTCTGCCCTGTGTGGGTTTTCTCCGGATACTCCGGTTTCCTGCCACATTCCAAAAAACATGCATGGCAGGTTACTGGAAAACTCTAAATTGTGATTGTGAGCGCATATGGTTGTTCGTCTCTGTACGTGCCCTGTGATTGGCTGGCAACCAGTTCAGGGTGTACCCCACCTGTTGCCTGATGACAGCTCCAGCCAGGCTCGAGCACATCCGCGACCCTCGTGAGGATAAGCGGATAAGAAAATGGATGGATGGATGGACATTTTGTATTAAATCATTTGTGCATTAATTACAATTCAGTTCAGGATAAGCGGATAAGAAAATGGATGGATGGATGGAAATATTGTAATAAATCATTGGTGCATTAATTACAATTCAGTTACTGAAAATGACATGAAAAATAGCCATGAGTTATTATTTTCGTATTAACACACACACACACACACACACACACACACACACACACACACACACACACACAAAACATTGTGTTCTTCCTCCACTAATGACTTGGCCCATCTGTCCTGTTTAAAAGTTAAATGTAGTCCTTGAGTAGTCCTTGAGCACAAGAAGTTAAGCCAGCCTTTGTCTAGACCAGTGGTTCTTAACCTTGTGAGAGGTACTGAACCCAACCAGTTCATCGGCACATTCACCAAACCTTCATTCGTGAAAAATAAAAATATGATTTTTTAAAACATTTTTTTTACAAATTCAAGACATAAAAAATGTATTTATTAAAAACAGAAACATTTCAAGACATATGTTTTTTTTTAACTATGCACAAAATGAATCAGCCAGTGATGGCCAAGCGGGCGTGTCATAACTAAATGACATGTTGAGTCGGGTGTGTAACCTCGATGGCAGAGGCTCTGTCGAACCCCTGAGACCGATTCACCGAACCCCTGGGAACCCAGTTTAAGAACCACTGGTCTAGACGGACGCAAAAATGTCACCTACTCTTCTGTCCATTTTCTTTCCAACTTTGTGTGTAGTTTTGACAGCCTTTTTTTTTTTTTTTAACTTGGTTCACATTTAAGAAGTCAACGGCACTAATCCTGATTTACCAACTCTCCGCTCATATGCCTCCTCCCGTCATTTCTTGCTCCCTTTTCGCAAGTGAGCCAAGGTGTGGGTGTCAAACTTCTGAGCTCGCCTGGTTTGGTGGCCTTGGCTCCCAACATCTCGTGGGTTGCGGATTGAAATGCCGAACCACAAGAGGCCACTGACTAGTGGAGGCCATCTATCACCGTGGTAACAGCCAGCCGAGCAGCCAGCCAGAATCTGAGTCAGCATAAAGTTTATTTTGGGTCTTGTTCAACATACAGCGAGTCAAGGGGGCGTTTTTTTTGGGGCAAAATACATTAGATTGTATATAATTTAAGAAATTATAAATATCAACTACTTTTGTCTCCTGGCACTGTAGTGCTAAAAGTTAGCTTCTATTTTTTTGCTTTTCCTAGACGTCGATTTATTACTGTTTGCTAAATCAGGGATTTGCTTGCTCAATCAATTCTGCTTATTTTCAAATAGATATTCAGCTTGAATTTCAAAAGGCAGAAAATATGTTCTTCAGCAATGTAGAAACTTAATGGCAGGGACATGTTTAATGTCTGGGGCTCTGTGTGAAATGTTTCCACCTTCCAATGGACAATTCAAGTGTAAGAAAAATATTCCTTCTGACATTTTGATTTCACG